CGGGGCAAAACCCACGGGGCACCTTTTACTTTACTTTCTCATGAACAGACCAGAGCTGGGATCCACTGATCTTTTGACATTTTCCACCAGATCTGTGCAAAGAAAAATTGGGTGAATGGCTTCTCTGAAATGGTCCAGGAAAAAGAGAAATGCTCCAATAGTTACTGTAATGATATACAGGAAAGATCTTGGGAGACTGGGCCCAGAGATGCTGCCTATGGAACAGTCAGCAAAGAGAGGGCATAGCCCACAGCTGGCTAGTGGACAAGGCAGAAGAAGAGATCTTCCTTAATTTCTTAAAATATAAAAGAGACAGGGAGAATTGTACTTTCAAAGTTGCAAGATTCTGTTAATGTAGTCTTATAATAAAGAAGAATTAACTCATTTTGTCATATTTCCTGATGGTCCGCCTAGTAAGGCTGACAGTTACTGAAGGACAAGTCTCCTCTTTAGGAATAAAATTCTAAATTACCAACAAGCTTTGAAGTTTGATAGAACTTTACCACATGCATAAATTAGACATACAACATATATTTCTCACACTGCCTAGTTTAGACATCACATACTTCTGCAGTTGCCTGCTCTTTTTTATGAATGCAGGGTATGAGGAAGAACAGATTGCTCCCCCGAAATTCCAGTTTGTTGGTGCTTTTGAACTTTAATAGCTGCTTGATTATAATATTAATTCTGACTAGATTGCTTGAGAAAAATTCAACTCCATTGCGAATTGATTTGATCCTCTCCTCTCTGGACAAATATCCGCATCAGATCCTAGTTATCCATGAGCTTTCCAAATTCTATAATATTCTGACATGGTTACCATTGTAAATAAATTTCACATGTAGTTTGTGCATCCATAAGCAAAATGAGAGCCTATTATTTCTTTAATTAAATTTGGATACGGCTAACAACTCTGAGCAGTTCACAACTTTTAAAAAAGAAAAAAATACAATAATAGACAAAATGAAGGAATAAAATATGCAAAGATGACAAACTCTCTGTGATTGCTCAAAACCAGTAATGGAAATGCCTTCATTTTTATGTTGGTAAACTGCCAAGACTGTCTTTGCAATCTTGCTGCTTATTTCCATTTGCTTAAAAATTGTACTTAAAAATGGAAATAGTAAATTGAAATTATTTAGATACATTTAGGCTGAAATTTGAGTTGGCTACTTCCTTCTTCAAAGACACTATACATGCATGTAAAATTACATGGATAGCAAACGACACAACTGCATTAAATCAATTATTCAAGATAGCAAACCATGAAATATATACTGAAAAATACTTTAATATTTCTGTATAATATATTCTTCAGCATAGGGATAAGCACAAGCTGAAACCAGTTTTGTATGGTTTTTGTTGTTAAAACTGTATTATTATTCAACACACATAATCAATATGGAGTTATCGGAGAGATTACGGATAAGCAAAGTTGTTCCCAGTTCTAAACAGATTACTTTTGACCATTCCAAAAATGCACTGAGCTCAAAACAGCTTTATTTTAGGATCAAAACAAATGTTTCAGTCACAAAGCATGGCCACTGTGGACTCAGAGCTCTTTCAGAATGGCTGAAACAGTGCATTTTGGACTGGGACCATTTCAAATTCAAGAGATTCTCCACAGTTACTGCTGACCTTGTAAATGATTGTCATCACCATAACTGGCAACAAACGTAGCCAAATCAATTTCATATAAGGTACAACAGCACCACCTTATTCAATTCATGATCATTAAGTAAAAAAATGCCTTCCAATTAGCAACATAACAAAAAATGGTACACACAGTTACCAACAATAATTATAGCAATCCCAAAACCACCACCATTTTGGGGAGGGAGAGGAAAGAAGTAAATATTTCAATATTTAAGAGAGAACATCAGAGAACCAGTTTCGCTGGTGCTTAAGACAACAGGCTAGCAAGCAGGAGACAGTGAGTTCTAGTCCTGCCTTGGGCATGAAGCCAGTCACTCCCTCTCTGCCCTTGGAAGAAGGCAATGGCAAGCCATTTCTGAAAACCTTGACAAGAAAACTGCAAGGACTTGTCCAGGCAGTCTCTGAGAATCAGACATGATTGAACAGAAAGGGGAGAAAAAGAATATGAGTGTGTCTGCATACAGTATAAGAAATAAGCAAAAAGATACATTGATTAGAATTAAAAATAGCCATAATTGGATTGTGGTATTTAAAAGCTCTTCTCTACCGAGTAAGATTTTTAAAAAAGGAATTCTTGCCATTTTGGAAAGCTGATATCTTTCACTTCCAAGCTGAACCAGATGTATCCCATTTGAATGTAAATTAATATCTGCGATTAAAAATTCTTCACCTGCAAACCTTATTTAAAACATTGCAGGAATTAATCTTTTAGAATGCCACAAGAACATAAATAAATAGGAATAAGAATATGATAAGGTCACTACAAGAGCTTTAAAACAGACGTTTTCCTCTTGACTAGACTAAAAGCCTACTTAATCTTGTAATATGCTAGTTCATGTGTTTTACATACAGTATGCAGCACAGCTGTAGGAGCCAGCAAGTTGGAAAGGTTGATCAGCAGGTCAAATAGCTATTATCCTAAACTTGGATCTATCAGAGTCCAATAATTGAACAGTTTTTACATGGTATGAACTACAGTATGCTTAAGTGAGGTGAGCCAACAATACAGTATGAAAGAGAATATCCATCCAGATCTTCTCTTACTCTATCAACCACCACATTGCAGATACATATATGTGTACATATCCATTTATTCCTTTTCAGAATAAGTAAATGTATACAAATCACAGAAAAAAGTGAAAAATAGTTGAGATATTGTCACAGAAAAGACGAAACATAGCTCAGTTCAGATAAACCAACTCCATTTATTAAACTGTTCCATTTCTCCCCATTCTTTTCAACCACCCTTCTTTCCATCACTTCCATACCCTGATTTTTGTTCTTTAAACTTCTCATCTTTTTTTTCTCAGGATCTCATCAAGTTCATCTAACCATGACTTCCTCAGTCTTCTCCTCTTCCTTGACTCATTCATTTTTCCCCCCAATTGTTCTTACCCATCCCATTTCCGTAATACCACTTCATTTTATTTTTTGATACTGGCTATTAATTTCTCTGTTGGTCCAGTCTGTATTCATTCTTTCCCTTAACTGTTATTTACCCCACATGCTTCTTACTTATTTTTATTTATTACATTTGTATGGCACCCGTCTCACGGTTCGAGGCGACTCTCTTCTTATGTTAACGCTAAATTTCCTAATGATAGAAACATAACCAGAAATAGAGGTCATTTCTCCTGCAAAAATAGAAGCAACTTTTTTTTTTTTTTACTTCAGCCTCTTGTTTTTCATCTCTGTGCTTACTGGCTCAGAGAATTTTGTTTGTAGTAGGGAAAGCTCTGTAGCTTAATGCAGATATGTGACTCTCATGAACATTACATTCAAATTAACAGCACAGACACATCCATTTGCATACCAATTTCACTAGAATGTCAAGGCAGGAAGATTTTTAATTGGAGGCAGCATTTGCAAACATAGCCCCCTCCACTTCTCTACTTACACCTGAGACACATAAAATGCTAACAACTGAAAGAAGGCCAATTTCCTTAGTACCAGTCAGTAGCGACTTGCTAGATGAAACTGTTTTCCATTCATGTGAAGCAACTAAAGGGAATGGAATTCCCATCCTTATCAGAAACTAAAAGGACGTGATGGTAGAAGACAAGTATCTTAACTAATTAACAACTGTGCACTTGTAGAATGCTGACTGCAGGGCCAAATACACAATTATGCACAAAATTATGGGGTCCTTGGTGCTCTCTGAGCGTGGTTGTTTTCTTGCAGACATTTCTTTACACAAACTAGGTAACATCATCAGTGCTAGTATGATGCTACCTAGTTTGCATAATGAAATGTCTGCAAGAAAATAAACAAGCTCAGAGAGCACCAGGGACGCCCCATTTCACCCAGAACTACAAATATCCTCTTTTATTGGTACCACTAAATGACACTTGAGTTCAATCACTGACTTCCAGATGTCTTTAATCTCCTGAGCTATGGATCCTTCCTGTCTGCTAAGGAATTCTGGCAGGTGGGGCCAAGGAGAAGAGCCTTTTCTGTTGTGGCCCCATCCCTGAGGAACAGCCTGTCCCCAGAGGTGAGAAGTGTTCCCAATCTTTTGAAAGGCTGAAAGGATATTAAAACTTGGTTTTGATGGTTGGCCTGAGGCCCCAAAGGGGCGTTCACCTCTTGAGATGCTTGGCAGGATAAGAAGATCTCATCCCCATACCGTTCATCTCTTAGCTTAGGGTTTTAAAATTTTAATTTGTATAGTTTTTAATATTTTAAGCATTTTTCCTATAAGCTGCCCAGAGTCACCTTATAGGTGCGATAGGTGGCATAAAAATTAATTAATTAATACACAAATATCCTGCCAGCCTCTTTAAGAAAGAATATGCTAGTCTCCTTTGATTGGCTTTCACAATTAAAGATTCTAGGATCCTATTTACGAAACCCACTATTGCCAGTTAAATTTCTCTAGCCCAGTGGTTCTCAACCTGTGGGTCGGGACCCCATTTGGGGTCAAACGACCATTTCACGGGGGTCGCCAAACAACGCAGTCCGCCATTTTTTTCCCTTTTCCCTAGCTGTCCTACTCCCTCTTATTGGTGGCCACACCCACTTGGGGGTCACCACAACATGGGGAACTGTTTTATGGGGTCACGACATTAGAAAGGTTGAGAACCACTGCTCTAGCCCTAGATTATGACCAAGTAACCTAGTCTTGCTGTGCTAGATACAACTTCTCAAGCCTAAAGAACCCATCCAGCTTGAACAAAAACAGTGCTATATATTGCTCAAAAGAGAATCACAGAGTCACAGGGATGGGAGAGATTTACACAATACACTGCCAAGCCTATTAAATCCATTCCGACAAATAAGTCCAGCTTCAGAAAAAGAAAGCTTCTCTCTCTAGAGAATTGTTCCCACTGTCGAACTGAACTTACGGTTACTGTTAGGAAGCTTAGTGTGATCCTTCACCACACTAAACTGATTTAGGCAGTTGCAGCTCCCCCTGCAACATCGAATAACAGTCATGTGGAAGCAGCAATCCAAAGTTTATTGCCCACATCAACAGCTGTGCAACTAAGGCTCAGATGCAACAGCCAGAAGAAAAGCCAAACAGTTCCAGAAGCTGTTCAATTATGATACCAGACTATCTGGATGGAATCCTGTTCTTCTCTGCATTCTGAGTAGGAACAGCAGATACTGAAAAATGTGTATTTATATAATCAACAAGATCACATTACCTAGTTCATTTTTCATTCATTCAAAAGCTGAGTTTAACGGACAGAAAACTCAAAACTCATACTTAGAACTCAGCAGGTCCATCATTGGTTTCCACTCCATTTGAATAAGATCCTGCTCAGAGGAAGAACTTTTTTAAAAAGGTCTTAAATGGAACACTTAACAAAACCTTATTTTCACCTTTAGATGGCAGTGGATAATCAATGTGGCATACTGGTGCCTGCTATAGACTTTTTCAGAAGAATACTACCCTATTAGTAGTAGTATACTTTTGCTATGGCCAGCTCTTTCTAAAACTTCAGATTTTGGTACCAGTTGCAGTCTTATATAACTGAAAAAACTTTTAAAAACAAGAATCATGACGATATAGTAATAATAATAATAATAATAATAATAATAATAATAATAATAATCCCCCAGTGAGGCACTACCTTGACGTGGTTGTGGGGCTTGTGTACTCTGAGGAAGATGAGAGCTATGCCAGAGGTTCAACCATACTGGACAGGTCTCATCAGAGGAGTCAGACAAAGAGTGTCTCTCCCATAAAAAAATATGGTGAGACGTAAATTTCAGAATGCCATACCGGCTCGGATGTCGCCCGGGTTAACAAGGTCCACGCTAGATATTGGAGTTCCTGGATATCTGGTGAAAAATGGGTTACAGGACTCAGGACTGTTGGCTGAGCAACCAGGGCCAGCAGCTGCAGAACTACTGGAAGAAAAGGTGTTTACCCGTCGCAGATACATAGTGATGGAAAACAAAGAAATAATGATCTGTTACTACAGATCAAGTCCTACAAGACGAGGATATCTAAAACGAATGCACCAGTTCTGGAAAGAACAACATCCAGAATCAGAAATAACAGAACAGAGACTAGCAGATCAACGCCGATTTATAATACGAAATAAAGTATTTACAGAAACCGAATTGGACGAACTGCAAAGGTTTACCCAGGGCAAAGAAATCAAAGCCTTACAAGAAGTAATTCAGAATGTAGAGGCAAACCAGGGGGAGTTGGCCGTGAAAGAATCCAGTAGAGATATTCAACTGTTCTCATTTGGAAACCAGGCACCTCTTCCTCAGGAAGAACAAAACCCTCTAACTAAAGAAATAAAAGAATTGAAACAAAGAATAACTGAGCATCTAGAACAGCACAAAAACAACAGAATAAGGCTGCCTGCATTGAAGCTTGTTTCAAAGAAACAGCTAGCACAAGCATTAAAAGATGCAAATACTGCAATATCAAGTATAAGCACCAATTCACTGCAAGAAACAAATCAACTAATGTACAGCACAGCTGCAGTTATAACTGAATACCTGGGATGCAAAATCAACAAAGAAGAAAAACAAACAAACAGTGCACCACAAAAATGGAAGTTAGACTAGAAAATAAGATCAGCAAGTTAAGATCACATGCAAGCAAGCTAGAACAGATGAAAGAAAAAAGCTGAAGAACAAGAAGACCAAAGAATACCTAATCAAGAAATACCACTTAGAAACAAGGAAGATCAAGGAAGCACTGGAAATAATAAAGCAACAAATAACAGCTATAGCCAGGAAAATCAGTAGATATGAAGCTCGAATTGCAAACTATAGGCAGAACCTCCAATTTCAATCCAATCAGAAACGTTTCTACCAATCCATCAATGGAGAAACTGCAAGGAATCAGTCAGTACCTGACAAGGAAGAAACAGTGCAGTTCTGGAAGCAGATATGGGATAACCCAAAGAAATACAACAAGGATGCTGCTTGGTTAAAAGAGGTGGATGCAAATAAAACAGAAGTTGAAATGAAAGAACTAGTAATAACAACAAAAATGGTAGAAAAAAGAGCAAAGAAAATCAAAAATTGGTCAGCACCAGGTGAAGATGAACTGCATGGGTTTTGGTTGAAACATCTAACTGTTATACACCCACTCATTGCCAAGCAGTTCAACAATATACTACAAGGAGGAGAAATTGAAAAGTGGCTAACAACTGGGAAAACCTACCTAATAATGAAAAATCCAGCAAAAGGGGCAACACCAGGTAACTACAGGCCAATTACCTGCTTACCAACAACTTTCAAATTACTAACTGGTGTGGTAGCTGATGCAGTACAACAGCATCTAGTTGAAAACAATCTCTTTCCACCTGAGCAGAAAGGAAACCGCCCCAATAGCAGAGGAACAAAAGATCAACTCCTAATAGACAAAATGATCTTGGAAAACTGCAAGAGAAGGAAGACCAACCTGAATGTGGCATGGATTGACTACAAAAAGGCATTTGACTCTCTGCCACATGATTGGATAATCAAGTGCCTAGAAATAACAGGAGTCAGTAGAAACATCAGAAAATTTGTGCAAAGATCGATGGCACAATGGAAGACACAGTTGCAGATCAATGGTGAGAAGCTGGGAGAGGTTAATATCAAGAGAGGGATATTTCAAGGAGATTCATTATCACCATTACTATTTGTTATTGCACTGTTTCCTCTGTCAACAATACTGAATAACTCAGGACATGGCTATCAAACATCAAAAACATCTGCTAGACTATCCCACTCCTTTACATGGATGATCTGAAGCTGTATGGAAAAACATCATCTGAAATAGAATCGCTGCTCAACACTGTCCGTATATATAGCCAAGATATTGTAATGGAGTTTGGCTTGGACAAATGTGCCACACTTACTATCAAACAAGGAAAAATAATGAAAACTGAAGGAATCAAGATGCCCCACGAAAATAACATTAAGAATCTGGATGAGGAAGAATACTACAAATACTTGGGTATCCTTCAAGCTGACAACATCAAGCACACTGAAGTCAAGAAAAAGATTAGAGGTGAATACATCAAGAGAGTGAAGAAGATCTTAAAGTCCAAACTCAATGGAGGAAATACCATAAAGGCAATCAACACCTGGGCAATCCCAGTCATTAGGTACACAGCTGGAATAGTGGACTGGACTCAAGCAGAACTAAAAGCAATGGATAGGCAGACCAGAAAAATAATGACAATGAATCATGCCCTTCATCCACGCAGTGACATTGATAGACTTTATCTACCAAGGCAAATAGGTGGGCGTGGAATGCTACAAGTACATCAGATGGTTGAAGAAGAAAAAATGGCTTTGGAAGAATATCTGAAGAACAATGATGAAGATGCACTGAAATTAGTATATCAGGAAGGCTTACTAACTACTGGAGAGACCAAACTGGCCTACAAGAAAGACCAAATGAAGAACAGAATAGAGGCATGGGAAGACAAAGCACTACATGGCCAATACATGAAAAAAATAGCTGGGAAAGCAGATAATAATAAAACCTGGCAATGGCTAAGAGCAGGAAAATTGAAGAAAGAGACCGAGGGACTAATTCTGGCTGCACAAGACCAAGCCTTAAGGACAAATGCATACAAAGTCAAAATTGAGAAGACAGCAACAGACAGTAAGTGCCGCCTATGCAAAGAAGCTGAAGAAACAGTGGACCACTTGGTAAGCTGTTGCAAGAAGATTGCACAGACTGACTACAAGCAGCGGCATGACAAAGTAGCAACAATGGTGCATTGGAAGATCTGCAAAAAATATCATTTGCCTGTAAGCAAAAACTGGTGGGATCATAAAATAGAGAAAGTCATAGAAAATGATAAAATTAAACTGCTCTGGGACTTCAGAATTCAAACAGACAAGCACCTGCAACATAACACCCCAGACTTAACAATTGTCGATAAGAAAGACAAAAAAGTCTGGATAGTGGACGTGGCAGTGCCTGGAGATAGCAGAATAGAAGAGAAAGAACTGGAGAAGATAACAAAATACAAAGACCTACAAATAGAAATAGAAAGACTGTGGCAAAAGCAAGCAAGGGTAGTACCAATAGTCATAGGCTCCTTGGGTGCAATCCCAAAACAACTGGAGCACCACTTGAACACCATTGGCATTGACAAATTCGCTATTAGTCAATTGCAAAAGGCAGCCTTATTAGGAACTGCTTCCATCCTGCGACGATACCTGTAATACCATCAAACATCCACATCTGCCTATCCCAGGTCCTGGGTAAGGACTCGATAGGTAGACAAAATGCCAAATCCAGTCTGAACATCTGGCTGACTGTGCGATGATCCATAATAATAATATAATAATAATAATAATAATAATAATAATAATAATAATAATAAGCTAGAACAGATGAAAGAAAAGAAGCTGAAGAACAAGAAGACCAAAGAATACCTAATCAAGAAATACCACTTAGAAACAAGGAAGATCAAGGAAGCACTGGAAATAATAAAGCAACAAATAACAGCTATAGCCAGGAAAATCAGTAGATATGAAGCTCGAATTGCAAACTATAGGCAGAACCTCCAATTTCAATCCAATCAGAAACGTTTCTACCAATCCATCAATGGAGAAACTGCAAGGAATCAGTCAGTACCTGACAAGGAAGAAACAGTGCAGTTCTGGAAGCAGATATGGGATAACCCAAAGAAATACAACAAGGATGAGGCTTGGTTAAAAGAGGTGGATGCAAATAAAACAGAAGTTGAAATGAAAGAACTAGTAATAACAACAAAAATGGTAGAAAAAAGAGCAAAGAAAATCAAAAATTGGTCAGCACCAGGTGAAGATGAACTGCATGGGTTTTGGTTGAAACATCTAACTGTTATACACCCACTCATTGCCAAGCAGTTCAACAATATACTACAAGGAGGAGAAATTGAAAAGTGGCTAACAACTGGGAAAACCTACCTAATAATGAAAAATCCAGCAAAAGGGGCAACACCAGGTAACTACAGGCCAATTACCTGCTTACCAACAACATTCAAATTACTAACTGGTGTGGTAGCTGATGCAGTACAACAGCATCTAGTTGAA